CTGAGAGGGCACTCAACAAAGAGGCTCTGCAGCCTGGAGGGCGAGGGTGCCACCTGCAGCCCGAGACGGGCTCTGCACCGGCGGGCGGGTGGCTGGGGGGAGAGGCGGTTAGGGTGCATGTGTGTGTGTGTTGGGGGTGGAGGCGGGGGATTGGGAGGGAAGGGCATTGGCTCTCCGGATGCATTCTTTCCTGATGGATTGTCAACAGCTAAAAACTGTTCAAAATGTGTTTTGGCCCAAGCGTTTTTGGAGCTTGCAGCAATTAGATTAAGGCCCACGAACCACGTTTCTTAGACGTTGATTTCTTCTGGGGAGCACCTGACAGATGGGCCAGGCCCCTCCCCCCTCCATCTATATCACCCCCAAACATCCAACCCAACGCGGCAGATCAGGGGATCCCTCCTTGTCCAGGTCCTTTTATCTTCTCAGAGGAAAGCGGAATACGGCGAAGCCATCCGACAGCACACCTCTGAGGAGAAAGGAAATGTCTTTTTATTGGCGGAGCCGAGATGAAGTATGTCTCAAAATCTGTTTTTACAAATACCCCGGCACATAAATTGTCCATTCCTGCCTGGGGGTCCTTTGTCACGTTTGAGGAGCTGTCAGAGGACCCTAATAAACATGAGCCTTATTTAGTCTACAGGATATGCAATTCTTCTTTTCTTGGAAAATCATAATTTTTTTCTTCTCAAGCAAGTACAGCAAAAATACAACCAATAAAAATCTAGCTATGACAGCATAAACCACCTTTATAGCCAGCATATACATAGAGCCGTTCCAATAAAAGCAGTTCCAGGTAAGAAAGACAACACGGAAAATGGGCTGGCTTGTGTCACGATCAGGTCCATGGCTCTGAGGGTGACAGCGGCAGCATCCTGGCTGCCAGGCTGGCCCGTGGGCTAAGGAGGAGAAGAGCTGGCTGCGAGGTTGGACACGTGTCCAGTGTATCTCACCATCCTTTTATTTTTTAATTATGTGTTCATTGATTTCAGAGAGGAAGGACAAGGGGGAGAGAGAGAGAAAGAAACATCAGTGATGAGAGAGAATCATTGATTGGCTACCTCCTGCACCCCCCCCAATGGGGATGGAGCCCACTGGGCATGCACTCTGACTGGGAATCGAACCGTGACCTCCTGGTTCCTAGGTTGATGCTCAACCACTGAGCCACGCCCGGCCGGGGTCTCATCATATTCTGTGAGCCAAGGCCCATTCTTGGAGCTACCCAAGCTGATGGACAGTGGAGGGTGCCTGAGGGTTAGTGGCAGGGCTGGGCGTGGGGATGGGCTTTGGAGAGTTCAGTCCAGGGAGAATGCTCTGGGATTTGGTCAACCTGTTGGGGCTCATGGGGAGGCAATGTTGTTTGGACCCTTCCCAGCCAGGCACCCGGAGGTGGTCACGGTGCCCTGGCCACCTTCGTGGACAGATTGGGGGTGGGGGGCCTTCCTGGTGTCCCCAGCGGGGGGTAGGGGTGGGCTTCTTCCTCCTGGGGAGCTCTGTTAGCGGGCTCCCAGCAGCCTGTGGTGCTCATTTGGGCTTTTTATAGCAGGAGCTCCAGAGATGTTATCGCAGCTTGAGAACAGAAATTTAAAATATGTATTCTTCAGGTGCAAATCTACTGTACTTACAGCTTTACTGTTTCTCTGCAGGGGGCTCCATTCATCTTCCAGCAGCGAAATTCCTAAGGAAATTAATTCCCTCCAGTTGGGGTTATTTTCAACTGGTCTTCTGGGGCAGAGTAATTGGAATTTAAGAGTCTCTCTTAAAAGGAAGGAAACATTAGCCCCTCTACCTGAATCACAACACTTTGCAGCGATGAGTGCTCTCTGTCTAGCCAGTGTGGCTCAGTGGTTGAACCAGTTAGGAATCATGGTCAGGTTACTGGCTCCATCCCCAGTAGGGGGCATGCAGGAGGCAGCTGATTCGTTATTCTCGCCCATCATGGATCTCTCTCTCTCTCTCTCTCCCTTTCCCTTCCTCTCTGAAATCAATAAAAATACATACATTTTTTAAAAAGTATCCTCTGAATTCTTTCCTCCTGTTCCACCGTGTCTCTCAGCCCCTCCGGGTGGGGTTTACAAAGCTCCCACCAGCAGGAATTCAATGCCAAGAACTCATCTCCGCTGACCGCTGTTCCTCTCTACTTGGGTTACGTATGCCCCCTTGGAACTCAGCCTGGTGCCCTGCCACAGAGGGCGGAGTGGCACTCGGTTGGCTGCCGAATGAACGGTTCTTCGTCGGAAGGGCATGGCTACACACCTTGCCTACGGAGGAGCAGTATTACCCTGTTTCCCCAAAAATAAGACAGTGTCTTATATTAATTTTTGCTCCCAAAGATGCGCTAGGTCTTATTTTCAGGGGATGTCTTATTTTTCATGGAGAAGAATACGGTACACATTTATTGTTAAGTGAAAATAAAGGAAATTTATTACCTGTATACGGTACAGTAGTACGGTAGTTGTCAACACAAACCAGACAGACTGTGAATCCTACAGTATCAAGAATTTACTCATTTATTCAATGACAATCATGTCATCATCTTCTGGAACATCATCATAACAATCCAATTCCTGAATTTCCTGGAGAATTTCTTGTGACTCCATTTCTTTCAGAATCAGTGGACCAAATCTCTCATGTTTAGCCTAGGGCAGGGGTCTGCAACCTTTAAGGCATAAAGAGCCACTTGGACCCGTTTCCGAAGGAAAAAAAACCCTGGGAGCCGCAAAACCATTGCGACATTTAAAACAAATATAACACTGCATATATTGTTTCTTACCTTAATGCTATATACCGGGTCGTGCAGTTAGCTGTCAATCTGAAGAAAAAAAGGACTTTTTTCACTTAACAATGTAAAATATATTTTTGCAAATGAATAGCTAATTAAAATATTTAATTTACCTGGTTAATGGGATTTTTGCTCCTGAACCTCAGTGCACAGTGTCAGCACATCAGGGCTGTAAGACGTTACCTTCATTTTCACACAGGCTTGCAGGGAAAGCTTCAAAAGAGCCGCATGCGGCTCTGGAGCCGTAGGTTGCTGACACCTGGCCTAGGGGGTGGCTTATTTTCGGGGGGATGCCTTATATTTCACTCAGAAGGAAACCTGTAAGTAGGTCTTATTTTCGGAGGATGTCTTATTTTCGGGGAAACATGGTAGCTGTCATTACCAGGAAGAATAATCAATCACACACCCCTCCTTAAATGAGGTCAATCCACAGCCCCGCAGTCCTGTCTGGAGCTTCACTCGTCCAGCCCGGGACTTCAGCCCCAAGGACCCAGAGCCCCAGCTTCCTGGTCCTCATGCTCCTGGCCCTTGAGTGGCACCAGCACCCAGAGAAGGAACTGTGCCGTCCTTCTCATGGCTGTGCTGCTGCAGGGGGGAGGGAGGGAGGTGGGAAAGCTGTTCCTGGTTCCTGACCAAGAGGGCCCTGGGAGCTCAGGCCACTGGGGACGATGTGTCACTCGGTTGCCTAGCCCCAAAGCGGGAATAGGATGTAGCCCAAGGATGCTGACATGGTGTCAGCAGAATGCCAGCGATGGACTCACCTTGGAGACAAGGCCAAAGTCAGCCCAGTGTCTTGCTTTGCTCTGTTTTTGAACTTCTGAGCAGTAACAGGGGCATAAGGGTAAGCCAAAACCAGAGAGAGTGGAAGGGGTGGGGGAGAAACATCAGTGTGAGACACCTGCCACATGCACCCTGACCCGGGCAGGAAGTGAATCCACAACCCAGGTATGTGCCCTTGACCAGGAATCGAACCCAATACCCTTCGGTGTGCAGACAGATGCTCTAATCACTGAGCCAGGCTGAAGACCTTTTTAAGTGGTATATTCAGTTACATATACTTATGTATTTAATTTATATGTAGTTCTGCTGCAAAATGGTTATTGGCATGTAATCCTGTTTTGCAACACGCTGGGGTTGCATTTTTTCCCATGGTTATCTGTAGGTTTTATTTACTTTTTTTTTTTTTTAAACTAACCTTTTGGCCCTGGCTGGGTAGCTTAGTGTTAGAGTGTTGTCCTTGATAAACCAAAATTTGAGGGTGGATATCTGGTCAGGGCACATACAAGGATCAACCCACGAATGCCTAAGTAGAACAACAAATTGAAGTTTTTCTTTCTCAAGTCAATTTTAAAAAATTAACCTTTTTATTTTAAAATAACTGTAGTCACATGCAGGCGTAAGAAGTGACACAGAGGTCCTGGGGCTGCTTTCTTCAAAGACATCTTGCCAACTGCGGTGCAGCTGCACAATCAGGATGCTGACGCTCCCACTGTCTGCCCATCTTGCCCAGACCCCCCCTGTTTCCCCCGTAGGTGCATGTGCACTCAGTTCCATGTTTAAACATTTGATCAGTGCTTAGGTTTGCGTATCTACCTTTAGAATACAAAATGGTTCCGCATCGCTCTCCCATTGCATTATAAATACTGTAAATTACCCTTTTCCACCTCCTACTTCTCAGAGGGAGGCACACCTAGAACAGCTCCCAAAGGCCACTTCCGGTCACTGCACCCTTGGGTGCAGGCGGCTGGATATGCGGTTGAGCGCGGGTTGGGGTCCCGCAGGCCCTCGTTCGCAGTCCGCGGTCAGTGCTGTGGTTCTGAGACCTTTCACTCCAACCATGCATTGGTGCAGTTTCATTTTTTTTTTCCATTTTACTTATTTATTAAAAACATTTTTTTTGCTTTCTCAATAATTTTTATTTTATTTATTTACTTTTTCCATTTTTTATTAAGGCATTATATGTGCAGATAAGATTTAGATTAGGTTTTGCATATTTCGTGCAGTAAAGTACAAGCTTTCCCAGCCCAGAGCGCCCCCCGCGGCTGCCCTGGGCTCTGGAGCAAAGGGCGGCATAAGCCCCGCCCCCGGCGGCCCGCCCCGGATGGCGCCTGCGCAGAGCTGGTGCGGGGCGGGGCCTGGGCGGGGCCTCCGCGCGAGCCGCCGTAGGCCACGCCCCGCCGCCGCCCGCGCTCGATTGCTCCTGTCTGGCGGCGGCAGCATGGCGGCGGGGGCGGTTGGGGCGGCGGCGGCGGTGGCGGAGGTCGGCTCTGCCCGGCAGTTTGAGGAGCTGCTGCGCCTCAAAGCCAAGTGAGCGGGGCGACGGGCGGCCGGGGTGAGGTCGCGGCCGCGGCGGGCGGGACGGCCGGGCCCGGCTGGCGCAGTGGCGGGCGCGGCCCCCGGGCCATGGCCCCGCCGCCGCCGGCGGAGGAGCGGGCCGGACCCAGATGCCGGGCCAGACCGGTCCGCCGGGCGCTCGCAGGCCCGGGCCCCCCTGCCCGCCCGGCCCCGGCCCCGGCCCCGGACGCGGCGACGCGGTGGCCGCGCCGGGTCGGAGGGGCGCGGAGACCCCCTCGCGGCGGCGCCCGCGGGCAGGAAGGCCGGCCGGGTCCGAGCTGCCGCCCTCGGCGAGGACACTCAGGGCGGCCCAGGCCACAGCCGGCCCGGCCGGCCCCAGGGCTCCCGAGTCCGGGCTCCCCGGCGGTCCTGCCCCGGCGGTCCTGCCCCGGCCTGTAGGGTGGCGGGTCCTCGGGCCCCGGCGGGTTCCGGCGGGGAGGCTGGCGGGGGGGGGGGGGGCGGGTGTAGTCCCCGCCTCAGCCACCGCCCAGCCAGCCAGCCCCTGGGCCAGGTTCATACCCGGCCTCAGTTTCCCCACCGCGACCCGGAGTGGGGCATACCCAGCTCGGGGTTGGGGGTTCAGTGAGGTGGCACACACACGGCCCAGCTCACAAGTCAGCGATGCTGTTGACTGGCCCGGGCAGCGGAGTGTTTGAACTTGGCCCGTGTGGCTCAGTGGAGCTTCAGCCGGTTCCCCAGATGGTTGCTGGTTTGATTCACGGGTCAGGGCACATGCCGGGCCAGGCTTGGTCACCGGTGGGTAGGGTTGTGCAGGAGGCAGCCTAGGAATCCACCCATGTTCTGCTCTTCCATGGATGTTGCTTTCTCCCTCTCCCTTCTCCCTCCCTCCCTCTTTCTCTCTCTCTCTCCCTCTCAAAATCAATAAAGATATGTTTTAAAAAAGGTTAGTAACCTATTTTAGTTAAAAAAAATATAATATCCCATGTCATTAAAAATTCTTTGAGATACTTAACATATAATCTTAATGGATTTATTTTGCTATACGACTATTAAAAACTATATTGTTGGACCATATATATTCATATATACATGTATATGTTTGCTAATCCTTATCAGAGGATATTTTTTCCATTACTTTTCAGAGAGAGAGAGAAAAAACAAAAAAGAGAGAGATAGGAAGGGAGGGAGAGAGAGGAAATTGATGTGAGGGAGACACATTGATTGGCTGTCAACCAAATCCTTCTCGACCAAGGGCTTAGAATGAACCCGCAACCCAAGTACATGCCCTTGACCAGGGCAATCCATGTTTACAGTTACTTGCTATTTAAAATAATAGCCAAGTATTTGTATTCATATACCTTTGTCTCTCAAATTGTGTTCTTAGGATAGAGATTTTAAAGTGTAAGGCATTTCTGAAAGGTTCCAGTTTAATTTTAACCAGCAGGGTATTTCACTTTATCCTTTTTATCATTGAACTGGAGGCCCCGATGTATGAAATTCACGCAAGAGCAGGCCTGCCTTCCCCCGGCTGCCTGCACGGCTTCCCTCTGGCACCTGGAACCCGGGTTTCTCTCCAGCTCTGGCTTTGTCTGGAAGGTCCTCCGGTCTAATTAGCATATTATACTTTATTACTATAGATATTATGATCTTAAAAATCTTTCAACTTGGTAAAAAGTTGAGGTATTAACTTATTATGATGAAATGCCCAGATCTCGTTAGGTGCGGTGACCTTGGTGATTGGATGGGTACACACAGTAACCATCGTTGAAAACAGGACAGAGAGCCCGGAGAGTGGACTCCGTGTGAGTGGAGTCACACAACTCCCCGTCTGTGTCTTGTTCTGCTCAGTATGTTTTTGAGACACTTCCATGTTGTTGAGTGTCTATAGCTGGTTCTTTTTCATTGCTGAGTAGTATTCCATCGTCTGAATTTTACAAGTTCTCCAACTTGTGCACTTTGATTATTTCCAGGATTTGGCCTTTATGTCCAAGGCTACAGTGGACATTCTTGCACGGGTTTTTGGGGGTTCGCTTCTCATCTCACTATGCCTTAGGTCTTGGGGCCCCTTACCCTCTGCAGAGGCTCTGTGAGATGTGGCGGGAGCAGGCAGAGGCTCACGTGGGAGGGTTTTTAGGGGCCACTCACCCCAGCAGCCAGAACGCAGACCCACACAGCTGCAAGGGTCCGAACAGCCGTGAGGAAGACGGGACCCAGCCTCGGTCTGCCCAGAGGAAGGGGAAGCAGGCTGGGGGCACGGCGTCTCTGGCCTCGACCCCAGGCCTTACTTGCACTGCGCTTCCCGCTCCGCTGGTCCAAATGGTGGCTCACTCATGGGGCCCCTCAGGCAGCCTTCCCCACCTCAGGGTGTCTCCCTTAGGGCTCCTGCCCTCCTGGTGTTTCTCCCTTCAGCACCGTCCTCTCTGCCCCTGCCCGTGGCCGCAGTTTTCCTGGGCGTCAGCAATGACCTTGCTTCTATCTGGGAAGACAGGACTTCCAGCACATCTCCCAAGCTCTCCTGCCTGTCCCTCCCCAGCACGTACACGGTTATTGATGCCTCTGCTTCGGGCCCAGAGGACACAGTCCTGCTTCTCAAGGTGGATTCCTCCGGCTCCCCCTCCCCTGCCGCCTCTGCGGCCTCGCACTCAACCCCGCTGCCTTCTTCGGCTTCTCTCCGTCCCTCACCACGTAAACCACCAGGCTTTCTTGGATTAATGAACCCATTCCTGCCTGGCGGTGTGGCCCGGTGGTTGAACATTGACCTAGGAGCCAGGAGCTCACGGTTTGATTCTCGGTCAGGGCACAGGCCTGGGTTATGGACTTGGTCCCATGTGGGGCAGGCAAGAGGCAGCCGATAAGTGATTCTCTCTCATCATTGATGTTTCTCTCTCTCCCTCTCCCTTCCTCACTGAAATGAATAAAAATATATTTAAAAAAACAGCAACCCACTTTTTGATCCTGTCTTTGCCTCTGCCTCATTCTCTGTTTACAGCCAGATCTCATAAGAGCGGGGTTCTAGCAGTCTGCACTTCCTCATCTTCAGGCCCCCCATGCTGCGGGGGGACCTACCCTGCTCCCACCGGACCCTCCCCCCCCCACATTGCTAGCCTCCTTCCTGCTGAGCTGGTTGGTTGGCACCTCTTCTTTCTTGGCTCTGAGAGGCCCTCTAACCGGCCTGTGCCTCTGGGCCGCTACCTGGCCTTTCCCGCCACCTGTCCTGCAGCTCAGTGCAGCGGAGCCCAGACTGACCTGGCCTCTGTCCCTCTGCCTGGTGCACGGGGTGCCAGCTCGGACTGTCTCTTCCCGAATGTGCAGATCAAGTGCGGATTTCTTTCCTGACTCCAGACCATCGCATCACAAACAGCCGTTAGACTCCCTTTCTCCTCTCAGCTTGGCAGCTTCTGTGCCGGGACCTGCCACCCGGCCAGAAACTGTCAGCTCAGACTGTGCTTCCAGGGCCCCCATCCTGCCCCTCCCGCCTCCAACCCCAGCGCCTCCCTTTGCTGGCGGTGGCTCCTTCTCACCGACTCACTTCACTGTGTTAGTTACCTTTGGTTCCTCTCCATGTAACATACTTCAAAGGTGTTTTCTTCCTGAATTTTCAGATCTCTATTTGTTTGTTAGTTTGTTGGTGGGTTTTTTGTTGTTGTGGGATCATATTTGAGCTTAGAATTCTATAAAACTGTAGGGTTTTTTAGTTGGATACGAAGATAGACTTGGAGATATCTTTGGCAAGATAATTTTATATGAGAGTAGTTGATAGATATGTACAGAGACTCCTAAGAATTTCATCAACAGCTTATTAATCTATTCTGTTTGTTCATACCATCCATTTTTAGAAAATCTTTGTAGCATAATATAGAAAGTATGTCTTTGTAAAACACAGTTCCGTTTTTTCCATGTTTGCTGCTTGCGTGCTCTCGTCGGTGTTTCGATGGTACATCATGCCCTCATCATAGGTACATACTGTCATGTAACAGGTAACAGCAGTCATGCTTCTGCAGTCGGATTTTATGAACATGGCACCTCAGCTGCAGGAATCCGGTCTCTACCGTCCCTCAGGGTCAGAAAGGTGGTTGACGTCCATGACTCTTAGTTCAGGTGGATGAATATTCAGGACCACTTTGTGTGAGCTAAGCATTGACTCAAGAAATAGCGTTAACTTGAAAGTTCACCTAGAAGATTCCCGAGACTTTGCAAGTCCGTCTGTCTTAGTCTGTGTTTAATACGATGAAATTCTAACACAACGACAGATGCCCGGTGGGGAAGACTGAGTCTGTCAGCATTTGTTCTTTCTGAAGATGCCGTGTCTTTTAAACCTGCGTTTCACTCACTCACAGGTCCCTCGTCGTGGTCCACTTCTGGGCGCCATGGGCTCCGCAGTGCGCTCAAATGAACGACGTGATGGCAGAGCTGGCCAAGGAGCACCCCCAGGTGTCCTTTGTGAAGGTACATCCTGCTCCGTGTCCTGTCTTGTAGGAGTTTATATGAGCTAATGTGGAAGGAATGCCACATGCTTATAATGGAGGTTGGAATCTGTTATTTTTCTAATAGACTATTCTTAAAAATCTTAAAATAGTTTTGCATTTCTCCAGTATCAGGAGTGTAAAACTCACCACACTTTGCCTACATGTGTCTTTCCCCACATGTGTGGGGCGGACAGGACCAATACAGTGCAGGATGGGTCACGGGGGAGGGGCAAAAGCAGACTAGATCATTCACTGTGGACAATTGTGACTTTAATAAGGATTTTAAAGGAAGAATATCAGCAGACACGTTTCATGGACCAGGTAGGTGTGGTGTGGAAAGTGATTGAGAAAAGGGGGTCCCAGGTGCTAGGATCTGGGGGGTAGGGAGAGTTGCTCTCTGGGCTGGGCAGACCTGCAGGAGACACGGAAGGTTTTTCTGACTTGTTCAGGAAGCGGAGGACAAAGGAAGCCATCTCTCTTGCTTTCTGTGTTTGTACTGTGTGCTGTGTTCCATGCTGTATATTTGCAGTATCTCTTAGGTGGGTAAGTACTAGGAAAGTGGTAATTGTGGCTCGCTGGGTTTAGACATATTGTTATTCAGGACTTAGTGCCGGGTTAGACAAAAGGCTAGCATATGAGTTGAGAGTCTTAGAAATGAATTATTGGGAAGAAAGGCACACTCTGTATTCAAAAGCCTGGATCTTTAGGATTTAAACAAACAAACAAACTAAAAATCCAAAGCCTTATTTCTTAAAACCAGAATTTATTAGTTCATAAGCCATGTTGACAAGTATACCTGTACATAGAGTTAAAAATGACATCAGCTGGGTTTGTACGCCACTTGATATATAAACTGAAAACAGAATTTGGACAGGCTAATTCATTTGTACAGCAGGTGTATAATTTATCAGACAGTTTCTCTGCAGACAAGTGTGCTCGGAATAGGTATTGCGGTGAGGGGGCTCAAAATCAAAACTGGGAAGCTGTGTTGAGCAGGCTCATCACACGCTTTCCCATCAGTCCTGTTGTCCCCCCACCCCCTCAAGTAACTGCTTGCATTAATTTTGTATGAATCCTTCGTTATGCAGATAGAGCAAGTGTGAATATAATGGCTAGCTTTTTAAAATTTAAGGACTTATTTAAAATTCCAATGAAATGTGTAACGTAACCTTAGAATGTAACCCTAAAATGTCCCATATAAATAATGGAAGGGAACATTAAAACTGCATGTTTGGTCAGTGATAAAAGATAACGATTACAAGTGAAATGAATGATTAAACATTTCAATCATAAGATTAATCAAGGTGATGGTAATGGTTGTAAGTCTGCTTTTGTATGTCTAATGTTACCGGTTTAGGTAGCACATTCATTGTTCCTGGCTGCCATCTGAATGATTTATTTAAAGTGACTCTACAGTTACTTCTCACATTGGTACCAGACTTGGCAGTGAGACTTTGAGTTGTTCAAGTGCTTAAGTGTCTCAGCAAGCCAAGGCCGGAAACCCTTATCTGTCGGGATACCTGAGCCCACCGCCTGCCGTTCGCAGGGAGGGTGACAGTGGGGGCGCCGGGGCGCTCGCTCTGCGCACAGGCTTTCTGTCCCCGGACGGAGGAGGCAGGGCAGTTTGCACAGAGCTGTGCGGGTGATTGTTCCGAAGGCTGCGATTGCTGAACCACCGTGAGCAAAGGAGAAAGGAGATACAGGCGAGGTCTGTGGGCATTTCCTGGGCAGAGCAGCCTGTGGTTCATTGGAAAACACTGGCTTATTGGGAGCCTTTTGAACTTCTGGGCTATGGAACTGATGTTCTGTTACTTCCATGTGTTTTCATTTATTACTTAGTCTTTTTTTTTTTTAACGACTGCAGTAATGTGGCATTTTTGACATGTGAAATATGGATTTACAGAATATGCAGGTTATCTTTTAAAAAAAATATATTTTATTGATTTTTTACAGAGAGGAAGGGAGAGGGATAGTCAGAAATATCGATGAGAGAGAAACATGGACCAGCTGCCTCCTGCACACCCCCCAACGGGGATGTGCCCACAACCAAGGTACATGCCCTTGACCGGAATCGAACCTGGGACCTTTCAGTCCGCAGGCTGACGCTCTATCCACTGAGCCAAACCAGTTTCGGCTATGCAGGTTATCTTAAACTTGATATTTTTAATAGTTGGATGTAAAGTTTTGTGACCATTAATAATTTCTTATTTTATAGATAATGGTAAAATATGCCTGAGAAAAGGTTGCTTGCTCTTTGGTCCAAGTTTGTGCTCACTGGAAGAGGCTTTCCCATCACTGAGTCTGAGTGCCCTCATTTCCTGGGCTGCTGGTGTGGGGGTGAAGGCTACATGGGTCCACTCGCCTGGATCGGCTACCAAATTCGGTCAGATCCTGAGGGTCTCATGTTTACAAGGGCTTTGAGGCGATACATGAGTTACTTCTATTGCTAAGCCTCATAGAAACCTATTTTATATATATACCGTGTGTCCCCGAAAATAAGACATCCTCCGAAAATAAGACCTAGCGCATGGAAAGATAAGACATCCCCTGAAAATAAGACTAGTGCAACTTTGGGAGAAAAAATTAATATAAGATACTGTCTTATTTTTGGGGAAACAGGGTGTGTGTGTATATATGTGTGTGTGTGTGTATATATATATATATATATATATGTACACACACATATTATTGATTTTTTACAGAGAGGAAGGGAGAAGGATAGAGAGTTAGAAACATCAATGAGAGAGAAACGTTAATCAGCTGCCTCCTGCACACCCCCCACTGGGAATGTGCCCGAAACCAAGGTACATGCCCTTGACCAGAATCGAACCTGGGACCCTTCAGTCCACAGGCCTATGCTCTATCCACTGAGCCAAACCGGTTTCGGCTAGAAACCTATTTTTATTCAGAATAAACTTAAAATGTTGGTTTTCTAACACTAACAAAAATGGGAATATATATTTATCGTGTATCAGTTGCTTGGTAGATAAAATCTTTGAAGATAAAGTGCCTGGTAGAGAAGATGGGAAGAAGAAGAATATATAAGGCTTTTTGGGTGATGATCGAGTTGGGTTCCCCTAGTCAGAGCCAAAGTCCAAATCAAACCCATGCTTTTATAGGAGTGGCCATTTTTTAAATTTTATATTTGATTTTATTTTGAAAAATAAAAATGGTCTATATTTAAGGTGTCTAACAATGATTTCTATCAGACCATTTTGTGTGAAGTCTCTCCCATGTACCCCTGAGGCTTTTGGGGGAGGGTCTCTGAACTTAGTCTGTGCTGTTGGTTGGACTGTTAGGGAACTTGTTTAACTCTTGTTTTGATCGGTTTCTGGACTAGGTGGTAGGTGCTTGTGGGAGCTGTACCCTGCCATTTCTTAATTGCTTTCCTTGTGCAGGTAGCTCCGCCCTCCTCCCCCGCCCCAAGTTTAGTGCACGGATGGTGCTGGGCTGTGGTTACCATGCAGTGCACTTGGGTACGAACATTCTCCAAGTCAGACTGCTCAGCACCTGATTAGTGAGATTTTTCTGTTGCATTTCATTTAGCGTTAGTCTTGTTTGTATAGTAGCTGCTGTACTTGCATTTTATGTTCATTGTAACTTCATACTATAAGCTCAAGGGTACAGAAGGAGTTAATATACTTCCGTTTATATTTTCTGATTAAAAAAATAGGAATATTTATAGTTTGATTTATTCTTAAATCTGCAGCCATCTTAAAGATACAGCTCACGCTGTTTAATTTCGGAAGCTCTTGACAGTCAGTATAGATCATCTCTGGAGCCTGCACTGTTTAATTCTCAGTGTCTGTGCAGATGGTGTGTGTGAGCAGACAACATAGGGCAGCCTCCAGGGCACCAACTAGCTGTGCAACTAGGTACCATCTGACCAGCCCAATTCCTGTTTTTCTCTGCCAGAGGATATTCGCCAGTTTATTTGGCATCTTATCATAAATGCCTCTCAGATACTTCTAGTGGAATTGTTAAACCTTAAAAACATCCTAGTTTTTATCTATGTTGTTATGGTAATGAAACCAATGAACATAGTTGATTAGCTGTTACTGCACTAAATTTGGCAAAAATTTTTAAACAGTTATCAGAAATGTTAATTTAAATATCTATTTTGAAATTTATATTTGATAGACAAAGGATTTGATTTTGAAAATTCCTCCTGTACCGACAACGCGCCCTGAGTAGAAAGCAAGCTCCGTGTGAGGGTTAACAGAATGTCCCTGAGTGCGGGTTAGCCCTCCCCCCTCAGCCTGGGAGCCTCATTGCCACGACTGGCAAGTTTTCTTTCCTCCCTGAGCCCAGCTGCTCACTAACTGTGTCTTTGGCCAAGTCACCCTGTGCCCAGCCACCTGTGAAGGGGAGCTGCATGCTGCATACCTGTCCGGGTGTAAGTCACTGCGCACGCTCACGTAGAGGGCCTGTCATGACTTGTGACACAGAGTAGGTCTTCCATGAAAGGTATCTATTATCCATCAAAGATGTCTTTGGTGTCTTCTGAGTGTAGGTCATTATTAAATATTTATATACTTAGTTTCCATTTTCATTATGATAACTCATGTTTTACATTTAACAAAAATATTTCCAAAGACTTTTAGTGCTGCAGAGGTTTTTGAACTTCAGATGCCCTTGACGTCCTGGAGTGGGGCTGCCCTTCATTGGTACTCCTGGCCCATGCGCAGCAGGGTCTGCCTGTCACCAGTGCCTTTGTCTTTGTGAGATTGGTGTCTGCAGCTCACGGAGGAGGGGAGGGAGGCACACGTAGTGATCCTTCTGGCCTCAGCGGGAATGTCAAGAGGCTTATTTGCTTCCCAGAAGAGTTTCCAGAAGGGACCCTACTGGGAACCAGGAATGTGAAAAGAGACCACTTTTTAAAAAATATATATATATTTTATTGATTTTTTTTACAGAGAGGGAGAGGAATAGAGAGTTAGAAACATCAATGAGAAAGAAACATCGATCAGCTGCCTCCTGCACACACCCCACTGGGGATGTGCCCGCAACCAAGGTACATGCCCTTGACCGGAATCGAACCTGGGACCCTTCAGTCTGTAGGCCGAGGCTCTATCCACTGAGCCAAACCAGTCAGGGTGAGAAGAGACCACTTTTAACAGCATATAAGACTTTGGTTTTACTTATGCCTGTTCTGGGTTAAGACCACATTATCTCAGTGGTCTTAGTGTAGCCCTTTTATGGATTTTACTTTTCTGTTAGAATCCATTCATATCAAAGTCTAGCTCAATGCCCAGCGCCCAGTGTGCAGGGGCATGCCACAGATCTCAGTCTAAGACAAAAGAGCCTAACGATTTGGCTCAGTGGATAGAGCATCTGTCTGCGAACTGAAAGGTCCCAGGTTCGATTTTGGTAAGGGCATGCACCTTGATTGCGGCACATTCCCAGTAGGAGGTGTGTAGGAGACAGCTGATCGATGTTTCTAACTCTCTCTCCTCTCTTCCTCTCTGAAAAAAAAATAATAAATAAAATCAACAAAATATATTTTTAAAAAAAGACAAAAGATAATGAATTGCCTTTGCTGCTCCTCTTTGGTCTGACTGCGGAATTGGGGGGAAAACACAGATGTGTCTCCGACTGTAGAGTCTGTCCTAAAGAGTGTCCCCCTGCTGAGTCTTCTCTTTGTTCTCTCTTCACTGTTATCGGACAGCTGGTGCTGATTTAAAGTGTATGTAGTTTTTCTCATAAACACACTTAAAAATGAAAATAATTAAAAATATTGTTTCAAGAGGGTGTTGTAGAGAAAAATAGAATTAAGGGAGTAAAAGAACACCCAAGAGCATACGAGGTGGGAGCACCAAACCAAAGACAAATGGCTGTGCCTCCACTATGTCAAGGTTCGTTTGCGTAGATGTGCCGGATTGGCTAAAGCTGGGCTGGCAATAGTGTTTCAAGCCCAGTGGAAATTTCTCACTCTGGGAAAAATATAGTAGTTATACGTTAAAAACTTTTAACAATGTAATTTACCAATAAATTTTATTTCCTACAGGTATAATGTAAATACAGCTCTTTATTGGTTTTAAAAAGTTTATATTACATTGACAGTCCTAGGAGGGAGAAATGCAATAGACATCGGCTTTTCTCAAAGTGCGCTGTTTTTAAATCTTATATAATAGCTCATAGTAATCGTGTTTAATTATTCGGAGATTGTGTTACTTAATGTGTTTCAGATGCGCGCATCAGCTATCACAGGGGGTCTTGTTGAGGGGAACTGTCACACAGCGTGCGCTCCCCTCATTTCACAGGCATTCACGCGGGCGGCAGCCGGGAACCTGCGAGGTGTCTGCTTCGTGCCCAGCAGCCTTGCAGGAGTTAAAAGTAAAATTTATCAGACATCAATAGTTTATTGAAGAAATACTCCTTTTTGCTTCATAATTTGCAGAAGGCTGCAGCTGTCAGTCATGATGTACTGCCTCTTGAAATTAGTCAATAGAGCAAACAGCAAGAATTGCTGTGGGCAGAAAATAAGCACTGTAATCATGACATAACTGGGGTCAGTGATTTATGGATTTCAATATAGTAGTAGCTGCATATGATTGAAAATTTACTAGGTCACTAGTGCACCAAAAATTTTATTCACAGCCTGCGGGCATCTTTTGAAATGTGCAACAAAATAAAAACCTCTGAACCTGTTTTGACACGGCAGACTCAGTGGATGATATGCCAGCCCAGTGAGTCTCATTTAAATGTAAATGTGTCATAAACTTTTGTACTGCTCTCTTTAGAAAAACGTCACCTACCAGAAGGAATAATGCATGTGAAACTGATTTACATATTGAAGTTGTCAAAAAGGACCTTTTTGTAATCAAGCTTCAATTCTCTTATTTTAAAGTTGGAAGCCGAAGCTGTTCCTGAAGTATCTGAAAAATATGAAATTAGTTCTGTTCCCACGTTTCTGTTTTTCAAGGTAAGGATGAAGCTGGCACAAGAGAGTCTCCATCTGCCCTGTACCTCGAGATTCTGTTTTGGTTTCTGTACCCGCTCCCCTGGCCCCTGACCATTCCCATTGGGGTGTTCCTGTTTGTCCTGGGGGCCTGGAAAAGTGACATGGGTTGGAGGTCCAGCAGCCAGACTGGAGCTTCTTGAGAACAGTTCAGATACATGCTGTGGACCACAGTGTTTCAGACGCTGGGTCAGAAGTTGGTTGCTAGGGCGGTGTGGACGGAATGAAAGAGCGGGCTGGCCCGGTTTGATTAATGATTCCTTTATGAAGCCATGCAGGTCTGTCCTGAGGGCCCTCTGGGTGTTACCACAGCCCCCAGATGCCTCCTTTCTCCTTGATAAAGGACGCGTCCCGCCCGGTGGGAGATCTCTCTGTTTTAGGTGGGACTGTCTGGTTTGAGTTACAGCCAGCCCAGTGAGTCTCAGGTAAATGGGTCTGTGTCAGAAATTCTGTACCACTCTTGAAAAACTTCAACTGCTTGAAGGGATTTGATATTTGAAAATTGACAGATGTTTTCCTAGTATGTTCCCCAAAAAAGGGTGCGGGGGGGAACAAGAACAATTAGTTATTTCTAAAATTGAGATGCATTGCAGGCAATTGGTAGTCAGATTTCTAAAAAGTTCTCCAGTAAGAGTGTTGACCCCTTTAAAAATTGACTAGAACTATGGACTCATAATTGTTATAATTTTGGAGCCTAAAATATAGAGGTGATGGAGGAATGCCTCACATACTAAATGAGTTTTTTAACTTCAGAATTCTCAGAAAATTGACCAGTTAGACGGTGCCCATGCCCCAGAGTTGACCAAAAAAGTCCAGCGACACTCATCTGTGGGCGCCTTCCCACCCAGTGGGACTGAGCACCCCAAGGAAGACCTCAACCTCCGCCTGAAGAAGTTAATCCACGCCGCCCCCTGCATGCTGTTCATGAAGGGGACGCCGCAGGAGCCGCGCTGTGGTAAGGGCTGCTGTTCCGACCTGTAACCAAGGACCTTCTCCAGGATGGGGCAGCTCGGAGGCCACGCTGGTTTCAGCCTGGGCCATCCTCTGGGGCTTGTTGAGATGCCTCCAGAAAGTCAGGAAGGTTTAAAGGTTAGGTAGTGAATTAGTCTGCACTACAGACTCAGAACATGGGAACCAAAAGACACCTTAGAATCACTAATTCAGATCATTGCTGCTTGCGGAGGTACCCACAGGCGTGAGGGCATCTTGCCCAGGGTCTGTCTCCTGGCTGCAGAGTTGGGATCAGCTTCCTACTGCACACTGCCTGCCCCTCAATGGGCTTCCTGCCTGCTCCGCTCCCTCTGCTGTTCACAGCTCCTCTAGGGCTGGCATCCCCTTTCACCCTCCTCCTCCAGCCGAGCCGTTCCCGAGCTCGCTGTTTGCTCGTGTTCCTGTGTCGGCCCTGGGACTGCTGCCTGCCTGGTCTCACAGCATCTAATGACTGTATTTCTCACCCATCGCTGTCATTTCGCTTTTAGCGTCTGCTCATTTAAAGATTCCTAATTCTGTGTCTCATAGTCACTCTTATTTTCTGAACCTCAGAGCTGCTTGTGATTTCGTCCTTAAGTTTTACAGTTATTTGATGCCTCTGGTATGGGGCTTACATTTTTTTTTTTTTTGTACGATGCCTCGCATACAGTGTGATGCTGCATAATTGAGCATTTAGTGCCTTTGGATACGCTGCTGAGAATCTGAGTATTTGTTTCAGCTGCATTGGAGGGACTGTGTGAGGAGGGTGCTGTTAGTGGGATTACTGACTGGCTGTCTAGGGTGACCAAGAAAATAGCCAAGTTTCCAAATAAATTCAGTTATAAATTCTTCCCCATGTGGTTAGCAAATTACATATTAAATTATGAAAATGTCTAGTTTAAAAATACTGTTTCATGATGAATTCTGTCCTAAAAAGCTACAAGAAAATCATCTCTTTGTCTCTCAGTTCTACTTGAACAATATCCTTGCCAACATCCACATGCCAGGCGGCCTGCTGCTCACGCACTGAAGCTGACGTGTCTGCCCAGAGCTGGCTGCGGGGCCTCGGGCGGCCTCTGGGAGGTGCTTGTTTTCAGTGGAGGGCACACTGGTTTACTTCCTGCCGTCAGGCATGGAGGTCATTTCTGGACTTGCTGTGGTGACAGTAACAGGACTTAGAACGCCAGCCCAGGCCCTCGGAGTCTGGAGCGCTGCAGACCTGGCGGCACAAGGTGGGGGAAGCTGTGTGACAGGTTAGACCTGGTGAACCTACAGAAAACCGATAGCACGCTCTCTTCTCTGGGATCGAACGAGCACTCTCTTCCTCTGTGCTGTGAGGACTAAGGAAACTGGCAGGTGGGCTGCCTGAAGCTTGAGCACCGGAGGGGAAGGCCAACTAGGTGTCACGAGGTGGGCTGTGGTCCCGACTCTGCCCCTTGCCACCCGCCTTGTGACTGAGGTGCAGTCAGTCAGCCACCCTCCTGTGCCGGCCTTTCTTCCTCATGGGGGTGGGGGTGGGAGTGGAGCCAGTCTCGGAGATCCTTTTCAGTTCACTTAGAAACAATCCTTTCCTGCTTACATTCCTTCATTAGACTGACTTCATGCCGTGTTCACGGCTATTTTTATATTAACTGTCAAAGTGGCATTTAGAAGACTGTACAAATAACAAGTTAGAATAAAAAAAAGCTGTAAAGCATTTCAGAGCAATCTGAAAAACACGATATAGACAGATATTCAGGATCTAATGAGGAAACTAAAAGATGTTTATTATAGATACCAAGGGTTTAACAAATTCTTTATAATTTTTGTATCTACATTTTTCAAAAATATTTTTCAATGACATTTGACATTCAATATCGTTTTGTATTAGTTTCAGCATGGTGGTTAGACATTCATATACTTTCCAGAATGTTCCCCTTGATATTTCAAGTACCTGTAACTACATTTTTAAAAGGCTTTCTGTTTCCGGGTCATCTGGTTTTTGCTACGGTCTTTCTGTGCCATTTGGGGACAGTGTGCAGTTCTGCTGTGTTCTCTAATAAAATACCGAGCTGAGGATGAATTGGGAAGTGTTTATGCTCCTGCCCGTTCTGCCTTCATCAGCTCTGCTCCCTCTTCCAACTGTTTCCTAGAGGATCGGGTACCATTTCACCCTCTTCCTGTCGGAGCCTGTGCTGAGGGAAGTAGTTTTGCTTTTCCTTAGCATGTGAGAGGGGAAGCCAGGCAGACCTCCTTTGTCATGGCTGTTGGTGGCTGGTACTTCTGTGTTTTCACTGAGTTTACTTTGAAAGCCCTCCCATCGGTAATGACCAGGCTCCCATTGATGCCTCTGCTTTTTGACTAGCTGGCTCCCACCTACCTCACCTTTACTCTATATCAGGAAAAACGTTAAAAGCAACACTAACTTTGTATCAAGGAACCTGGACAGCTATTTCCGGGTCTGCCCTGGCGTCTCCCGGGCTCTGTCTGCGGAATGCCAGTGGGTCTCAGTCGACAGGATTAGCTGTCCTCCTCTGTGATCCGAGGAAGACAGGACCGAGCCGGCGTGTGTGCGGGAGATGTTTGCGAGGGCCGAGCTGTGCATCTTCTTATGCAGAATGTAATGTCCTCCACCATGCAGTTAATACGTTAGCTGGGAATTCTTTTATCTATTTCAGCGAACAGAGCTTGTAGCAGAAGGAAAGGTGTTTGAACCACAGTACAGAAATTTCTCCTGCCGTGAGAGAGTCATCTAATTGGGTTTTACCTTTTAAATCAGACAAAAGCTTCGGAGGCTCAGGAGCGTCTGCAGGGTCTCATTGTTGTTAGTGATGAAATGTGGCAGGTGGGCTTATTATTCACGGCTTCTGTCGTGGTAGAAAGGACTCCAGGTAGAAGGGGGCATTCTGTGGCAGTTAAACGGGTTTCTACTTGTAAATATCTTTATTGCATGCACGCACGCATGCATGCATTTTTCTTTAAAAAATGTGTGTAAATATTTTGTTATTAGAATAAAGCCTTCTTACTATTTTATCCTTAAGCATAACATTTCCAGCCAGCCACTTTAACCCTTAGAAATGAAGCACCACCAATCAATCTTTCTGGTCTGCATGTAATTGCCTGAAGCTAAAATAAAGCTTTTTCTCAGCCAGTTACAGTAGAAACGAGTTAATATATTGGCAACAGAATAACCATGAGCAATCAGCCGTTAGCTGTTTACTAATGAACTCCCAGATGAGTGAAAAAATCTCAGAGTCAGTGTTTTACTTCAGGCGGTACATGAACTTAACACTTCAGTTGTAGGAAAAGCAACTTCTGTGCTATAGAAACAAATATAAGGAGGCAAAAATAGGTTTACAGTTGCTCCTATGGAAAACAATACAATGATTGATAAATAATGCAAGAAAAACTGTGTTTCCCGTACAGCTATAAACCCCTTTTGTCCACGCTGTGCTGGTACCTGCTGTCAGTAGGCTGCGGGCTGGGAGGTGTTTGGTTCTCACTAATAGATCCACAGCTTAGTGGTGAAGGTGTGTTTGCAGGGCATCAGATAGAGCCAGATCTCGAAATAATCTGTTCTTTGTTTGCTTGCTTGCTTTGTTTTCTTTTTTTCTTAATCCTCACCAGAGGGTATTTTTCCTATTGCATTTTTTTAGAGAGTGGATGGGAGGGAGGAGGGAGAGAAGAGAGAAGCATCAATGTGAGAGAGACACATTGATTAGTTGCCACCTGCATGCACCCTCACCTGGGCTTGGATCAAACCTGTAAACCAATTATGTGCTCTTAATGGGGAATCGAACTTGAGACCCCTCAGTGCTCAGGTTGATGCTCTAACCATTGAGCCACTGGTCAGGGGTGGAAATAATCTTATACTGAATTTTATAATTCAGTTTTATTTATAAACTAGAGGCTGGTTGCATGAAGAGATTCGTGCAATAGGCCTTCCTTCCCTTGGCTTCCAGCACTGATTTTCCTCTGGCACCCAGGACCCAGGCTTTCACTCTGGCCAGAGTCTGCTGTCTTTGTCTTCGCTGCAGACTCCAGAGTCTGCAGTCTTGTCTTCACTGCGGCACTCCGCTCCTGTAGATCCTTTCGCCCTCCACCCTCCCACTTATAGCAGGCATCCTGCCCTGCCTGGCCACTCCGTGCCTAGAACAACTGGGCAGCCGCCGTCTTTGGCCTTCTAATTTGCATACTCACTCTGATTGGCTGTGGGCATAGTGGAGGTATGGGCAATTTACATATTTGTTTATTATTAGGTAAGATAATTGCAAGCATTGAAAACACTTGGGAAGAATTAGCTTACAGAAAGAAAAATATCCTCTTTTCAGACAAGACCAATAGGTTTATAAAAGACTGATATTCACACTCTTATTCTTCATTGCTAATGTAATCCTAAGAAAATTATGTCAAAAAAGTATGGAACAAAAATGTGTCACTAAAATGTAATAAAATCATGGAGCATAAGATTGTCACTACAGTGTAGGAAAAAAAATCACATAACATTCTTGGGGGAATGTAAATAGTTTAAAAAAAGAAACTGTCAAGTTATGACACCAGATGAGAAAGAGCTCCCTCAGTTTGACAGTTCATATGTAACAACAGAGGGGATAGCTTTGAAACCAGTATCCCTTTTAGACTGCACAGAACACATTCACTTGCATATATTTATATATATATTGATTTTTTTACAGAGAGGAAGAGAGAGGGACAGAGTTAGAAACATCAGTGAAAGAGAAACATCCATCAGCTGCCTCCTGCACACTCCCCACTGGGGATGTGCCCACATCAAAGGTTCATGCCCTTGACCAGAATCGAACCTGGGACTTTTCAGATCGCAGGCCAATGCTCTTTCCACTGAGCCAAACCAGTTAGGGCTCACTTGCTTTTTAATTTCTTCTATTTAGAGGGGCAAAGATTGAGAACTGCTGAAGTGGTTACATGGGAAGTAGTAACGGACAAACTGAACTGAGTCTCCAGAATGGGCAAGCAGTGGCTAAAAATGACTGTTGTAAAGCTCTGTCCTCGCCAGTGCTGGTTCTCACAGGACAGCAGAGCTGGCAGGGTGCGTCCTGGGTCCAGGTCAGTCCCCTGATTGATGGGCAGGGCTTGAGGCTCTGCTTTCTGGCTTGTACTGTTTCTTTTACAACAACAGCAAAAATGTGCCTGGAAGAGGAATTTTGATACACACACACACACACACACACACACACACACACGAAAAATTCCCAAGTGTATTAAAAAGTTAAATCCTGTGAACATGTGGTATGTGGTTCGGCATGAGATAAGGGGTTCTTGGAATTTGTTTTCTCTGAAATCATTGGTAAAGCAGAGGCAAACATCTATGGTTAGTACATACATGTACTCTGAATTCAGAGTTGTATGTATATGGTTAGTACATACATGTACTCTGAATTCAGAGTTGTGTGTATGTGAGAGAGAGAGAAACCAAGTTTTTTATTTCTTTTTCTGAATGCAGGTTTCAGCAAGCAGATGGTGGAAATTCTCAACAAACACAATATTCAGTTTAGCAGTTTTGATATCTTCTCAGATGAAGAAGTTCGTCAGGGCCTCAAAACCTACTCCAACTGGCCCACTTATCCCCAGCTCTACGTGTCTGGCGAACTCATAGGCGGACTGGACATCGTGAAGGTTAGGATTGGGAAGTTGGATGGGTAGGGAGTTTTCATTTCGAGCGTGGTTTTCTGAGTGCTGTACGAGGTCAGAGTCAGTTTCTTAAGAACTTCTCCAGGTAGCAGGCTGAGTCTGGCACATGTGAGGGCATTTCTGAAGATGATTGGGACTGGCATTCTGTGTTAGGTGTGGCTAGGGCCTACCTGTAATGTTCCTTCATCTTACCTGTGTTTATTTCAGGAGCTGGAAGCATCTGAAGAACTAGATACAATTTGCCCCAAAGCCCCCAAATTAGAGGAAAGGTAAGTGTTTTAAGAGTTTCAAATAGTCTGTCGTTATTTTTAAAAATAGTTTTAAAATTCTCAGCCTAGCACTGCCTTACTGTTCAGAAATCAGAGGTTGGTCTCATGTGCCAAGTTCGTCATTCTGCTGTTTGCAGTCAGACACGTCATCCTCACGCAGGAAGGTGTGATTTGGACAGCGGAGTGTTGGGTGTCAGTTTGATGACTAAGCGGAGGGTATTCTTTTTTTGTAGAAACAATACTGCTGCAGCGGGGCCTCCCCATTTTAGTTGTGTCTGCACTTCTGAGCCAGGGTCCAGCTGTCTGGATGTGCAGGTTTTGTCACGGGTCCTGCTCACAGCATAGCTGGTCCTGTGTTTTCCTACACGGGCCCTGGCGCTGCGGCTGTCCCTGTCCCGTCGGAGCACTGGCGTGGGATCGGGAGCCAGGGCTGTGCTTGCGGGCGTGGGCCATGCGGATGCCCCTTTTCCTCCACACCCTGAGACAGCGTCCGGGAGGTTCCGGGGCTGTGAAGTCCGTCCGACTCGTTTTATGAAGCATCTCAGTCAGCTTTTAGACATTTTATCTTACAGAAAGTTTGGACTTTGGCCTGTAGGGAGACTTAAAGGAATTTTTATTGTAATAAATATGAATTAAAGTAAAGGTTTGAGAAGGAATTTCTTGTGAAGTGTAGCGGCATATCAGCCATTCATCGTGGGGAGTGACTGGGCTTCAGTTTGTAAGGTAAACATTCTCCATGTCATTGTGCTGCCATTTCACATTTTGAGAAATTAAAAAAAAATTTTTTTTTATTGATTTCAGAGAGGAAGGGAGGTGGGGAGAGAGAGAGAGAGAAACGTCAGTGAGAGAGAACCATTGATTGGCTGCCTCGTGCATGCCCCCTACTGGGGATCGGCCCTGAAACCTGGGCCTGACCACAATTGTACTGGGACCCTTCAGTCCCCAGGCTGATGCTCTGTCCACTGATTTACCTACCCTGGAGTAATGAAGTAATCCTCATAAACAGTTTTCCGGCTATGTCCAGCCGGCCTTTAGGTGGCACGTTTTCTCCAATGATTTACGTCCTTTTTTGCCTTTTTGGTAAGAAAGTGGTCTTCCTTGTCCCCTTGTTACTCTGGGGTCCTCTGCTGAGAGCTCCGGCGGTCCCAGAGGCTGTGTGGCCCCAGGAGAGTGCAGTGCACCTGCTCTGCTTGGGTTTGCTCTTCATTCGCTCCCGGTGAGTGCACCCCAATCTCTGTGGTCAGACCCAGAAGCCGGCCGGCTGGACTCAGGTAGGGAGTAAGGGCAGTGTACTCTGAGTAACAATATAAAGGGCTGCGGGGCCAGAGTCCCTGGGCTGGTGACATCTGTGGGTGGGACAGAGATTTGCTTCCCTGGATGCAGGTGGAGGTTACTAGGTGAGATTGGGATCAGCATCATGTTTCTCACTGTGTTTTGTTCCTTTGTTTATTTTGAGAATTAGCTAATCACACTCTGTTGAAAGTGTACATGACAGCTTTGTGGGTGATTTGTGGTTCCATTTGTGACAACTTTATGCTGTGAGGAAATCTGGAGCCACCACGAAGGATCCAGAGAACCAGGGGCAGGAGGTGAACATGGTGATGGGGCCACGGGGCCAAGAGGGTCTTCAGCAGCCGCAGTCCCCACACTGGCTGTTCCTGAGGCCTGTTTCTAGGCGCTAGGCTAGCGTGCGGATGTGCGCATTCCGACAGCAAGTCCGCTCTGGTGTTGAAAGATGGTGCGACACATTGAGCCCGAAGTGAAGCCGCTGAGTGGTGCTCCAAGACGCAGTGGCCCCCCCCCCCCCCCCCCCCCCCCCCGCCCCGGCGGCCCTGTGGGCTCTGAGCGGGGAGCCTGCGCCTCAGGATGCGGGACAGGCAGGACGCAGTGCTGGAGGCTCCGGGCGGGCCCGTATCGAACAGGTCCTCATTGGATTGGGTATTATTATTTCCTCAGCACTGAGAGCTGATGGGCTTAAATGGCAACTTGAAGGAACATTCTTTGCCTTAAGAAGCCACATTGTGCTTTACAGCGGCTCAGGGAGAGCGTGAAATGGAGGAAAATGTCCGGGCAGGAGCCTGTTTAATGCCGTTCCGCGCGGTGAGCGTCCCTGCTGCCCCTCGGCGCACGCCGCTCCTGGAGCGCAGGAACGTGGGCCGAATGATTGAGCTGAGCCGTTTCTTATCACTTTTCTCTCCTTAGGCTCAAAGTACTGACGAATAAAGCTGCTGTGATGCTCTTTATGAAAGGAAACAAGCAGGTAAAGAACTCAAAATGGTTTTCCTTGTGATTTCTCCTGTGGAAACATGGGCGGCAGGGGGACATTCACCGTCTTTTCCGCTGCGGCTGATGGAGCCGCGGAGGCGCAGGGAGTTCTCGGGGCCTAATCGGTGCTTATGGACATCAGACACGTCATCTGCGTTTCTGACTCCGTCCTCCCGTCGCGCCCAGTGGGTGCGCTGCTTCCTGCTGCCGGGCGTCACTCCCCGGGCAGCACTGTCCTCACTTCCCGTCCGCGAGCTGCTGTGGGGACCGTGACTGAGCCCGCAGTGCAGCCGGGCACCGCCTCCTGCGTCCTCGAACCTCCTGGCCCCGGGCTCGCGGCCTCGGACATCCTGTGTGTGACCCCGGCTGCCGCCTGTGTGCGCCGTGCTTGTGTGCGGAATGAGCGACATCGTTTTGGCAATTTTTTTTCCTTTTCTGTCACTGCACGTTCCTCTTTTTCTAAAAAGAGCGTTCTTAGTGTTCATCCGATCCTCCAGGGCCTGCCCCTCCCTGGCTAAGAGCCACCGAGAAGCCCACTTCCCGACTTCCCTTCAGATGCCATCGCGTCAGCGCCATTGGCTCTGTGGCCATGCTTCCTGGAGCTGCTTTGCCGTCACTTCACAGAGCCTGGCTGTCCCTGGTGCTCACAGAGCCTGGCTGTCCCTGGTGCTCACAGAGCCTGGCTGTCCCTGGTGCTCACAGAGCCTGGCTGTCCCTGGTGCACAGGGAGCCTGGCTGTCCCTGGTGCACAGGGAGCCTGGCTGTCCCTGGTGCACAGGGAGCCTGGCTGTCCCTGGTGCTCAGAGAGCCTGGCTGTCCCTGGTGCTCACAGAGCCTGGCTGTCCCTGGTGCACAGGGAGCCTGGCTGTCCCTGGTGCACAGGGAGCCTGGCTGTCCCTGGTGCACAGGGAGCCTGGCTGTCCCCCCACAGCGGCTGCGAGACCGAGGTCACAGGGACACCAGTTAGTTACAGAGGAACCCGTTAGTGTAGCTGTTACAATGGAAGCAGGACAGCTAGGAAATGGTCAGATGCATTTCAGCGTGTGATCTCCGGATGAGGGCCTAGATTCTTTGACTGCTCCTTACTAAACAAAACAGAGGAAGCTAGTAATTCCCAGTAGTGGGAAAGCCAGCTTTTCTTTTTGGTGATTATTTTTATTCTCAAAACACTTTTTTTCTTTCTTTCTGGAAGCCCAGACAGTATGTGTGCGTTTGGGAACATAATCATTAGCTCCATTAAGGTGTTTGTGTGGCCCTAAGTCTCCCCTCAGGATTGAGGGGATCTGAGACTCTCTGCATGAATAAGTGTAAGATTTCCATAACTTCCAAGAAGTTTGGAACAGGAAAAAGATGGAACAGGACAGGGATGGTGACGGTGGAAGGTGGAGTTATCGAGCTGGTCTCCGTGAGAGAGCATGGGGGATTGCTTGAGGGACTGCTGACCACAAAGATGAGAAGCTGCTAGACACGTGGTTACAGACCCAAGTGAATCGGGGGAAAGGGGTGCGTCTGAGCCGATGTCTCAGGTCAGTGCTGGAGGTGCCCCCTGAGCCCTCAGCCCTGACTGCCCGTGATGTGAACGGCCCTGAGGCGCGTACTCGCCCACTAGCTGGGCCAGGACAGAGCGAGGGACAGTCATGCTGTGGGCCGTGGGGAAATGCCGGGCGTCCTCATTCTTTCTCTCTGCATTTAGGAAGCCAAGTGTGGATTCAGCAAACAGATTCTGGAAATACTAAATAGTACTGGGTAAGTCAGTCTTTTTTTTAATGGTCTATTTAAGAAGTTCTAACTTTTCAGTTATATCTAAATCCATGCATTTTTATCTGTGTATTGTTACACTGTTTTGTGAATGCTTTAAGGTCGATTACAATAGAATGTTCTGGCCATTGTCACATTCCTGGAAACATGAAGGAGGTTCTCAGGCACCAGTGCCATAGCTGTTGGTCTGCCTCCCGGAGGAAGTTAATAGCCGAGTTCTTTCCAGGCGTAAGGTGTGCTGGGGAGAGTGAATTATAGGTGTTTTCATTTCCTTTAAAAACACTGGAGTGTCTACGTAGTCCGTAAAGCAGATGGGGCAAGAACTGGTCGATTGTATGAACCTGAGGGGGAGGGTAAATTACATGCAAGGTCCTTGCTTTTGATCTGCTCACTGATAAGCTGTCAGGTGAGAAAATTGTGATTGATTTTTATGGTTAAAAACAACCACTTTTACATGCCAATTATAGCTCAATTCACAAAATTAAAACAAAACCACTCGGGGATATTTACATATGTCTTATAGAGTTTGTCATGTGTTTTTGCTCATTTCTTTTATTTCACAATTGCTTTTTAATATAAGTTTTCTAATCAGAGCTTTAAGTAGATTAGGCAGCCCTATGAAATTATAGGGAAAGTAATCTTTGAAATACTTAGACATTCGTGGGGAGGGTTGAAATAGTCGAATAGTACAGGTTTACATGCAGTTTTAGGGACATAAAAGGAAAAACTATAGATTTCTTAAAATGCTGTGGCCTCTCAGAGCCCGGCCAGCCTGTGCGCTGTGTGCTGAGCCGTCCTGCTCCCTGCCTGAGGGTGGCGGACAGCTGGCTGGTTTTGGTCCTTATTTTTATGGCCCTTCCTCTGGCTTCCTGGGCCACAGCTCCACGGAGACACACACTCCTTCCTGGCCCGCCTGGCCTGGGGCTCCCTCTGCTGGTTTGGGAGCCAGGACCGGACCGGTCTCCTGCCTGCTTTCCGTCCTGTATCTGCAATCCTGAGGGGACGGGAGGGCAGTTCTCGGGGGCCTGGGTAAACAGGATGGCGCTGCGGTGGGCGCCCGTGGAGCCTCCGCGCTCTGCAGTGGGAACGCGTGTGAGGAGAAAGGAGGCCCGGCTCTTTGTCCTCGCTCTGGCCTTGCTCGCCCAGGTTAACTCGCCAGGAGGGTGGAGCCCCAGGTGCGCGATGAGGCGTGGACAGTCCCTTACCCAGAACCGCTGGGCCTGACCCAGGCCCTGGGCCCCGGACTCCCTGGGCCCCTGGCAGGTGGCTTTTTATCAAGACTGCTTAGCTGCAGATCTGCCTCCCTCCGTTCCCCTGAAGGAGATTCACCTCGTTAGGCCCTTTTTAATTCCTTTTGCTCTTTCCAACATCCCTTTTCTGGGACGTGCTGCTGCTTAACCTGCCGTCTTTTTTTTTTTTTTTTTTTTTTTTTTGAGTATTTCTGCGCCATGGATAGGTTTCTTAGGAACTTGTTTACTAAGTAACCAAGGTTTCCCCTGAGGGGGAACTCGGACTGTGTATGTGGCGTTTCTTTGGCCAATGTTTGGGCCTACAGGCCTGGTCCCCTGCCAACTGACTCCTTGACCATCACGCAGTCAGAGCACAGCACCGTCCTGGCCACGTCCACCCCTGCCTCAGGCGGCATTTGCTGGCAGTGAGGGTGCCTGGCTGGTGAGGCCCAGCAGCCTCCGGCCATGGCCTGTGGCATAATGTTTCTCTTGCCCTTTAAGAAAAAGTGCTGGCCCCTGTGCAACCTAGTATTGTCCAGAGAAAAATTCAGACACACTTGTGTCTTGGCATGATGTATTCTGAATGGTACCAGACGGATTAAAAAGTAAAATCATTTTCGTTTTTCTATAGTAAATTTTGTTGGCACCGAAATGATTTATTTTCTTGACTATTTTAAAAACACAAAGTAGGTATACAGTTTCTGTTTAGCCCTGAATTGTCTGTTAAAATGCCCTCTCCTTTTGCAGTGTTGACTATGAGACATTTGACATTCTGGAGGATGAGGAGGTAAGCTGTCTGTCCCGCCCTTGGTCCCTCCGTCCCTTGTGGAGGGCCGGCGTCAGGGACCTGTGGTTCCGCAGGTGCGGCAGGGCCTGAAGACCTTCTCCAACTGGCCCACGTACCCGCAGCTGTACGTGAAGGGGGAGCTGGTCGGGGGCCTGGACATCGTTAAGGTGAGTCCGTGCCAGGCGCCTGATGAGAGTCCCGCTTCCAATGGAGACTCCGGGCTGTCCTCCCGCCTTCCTCTCCAGGCCTCACGTCCAGGCATCCCGTGACCCTGTCTGTGTCGTCCCAGATTGTCATTGCCCGTCCTGCCAGTCACCGCCCTCACCGCTCACCCGAGTCCCAGGCTCTGCCTCGCTGTGGGGCTGCCCGACACTGGCTGCTGCTCGGGGGCCCTCGGCCCCTGAGCGATGCCGCCCAAGCTTACCTGCGGCCATGCTCCCGCTTCATTTCTCCCACGGCACTCGGTCCGGTGGGACTTCCTGCACGATTCAGCTTTTCTTCGCCTGCACCTTCGTTCCGTAGTTGTCTATTCTTTGTACCCATCAAGGTCGCTCGTGTCTGGGAGTCACCTAGAATATTCCAGCCAGAAACGTTTGCTCCTGAAGTCCTGCTGTGCCTGCAGACTCACACTGTTGTGATTGTTCTGATACTGGAGGCCCGACGCCCGGACTTTGTGGGAGAGTAGCCATCGCAGCCGCGGCTGCCTGGATCCCTCCCTCGCAGCCACAGCGGCTGCCTGGATCCTGCAGCTGCAGCCCCGGCTTCGCCCTGAAGGACATCTGGAAGGATGTCCGGTCTAATTGGCATAGGACGCGTTTATTATTGCAGAGAGCTTTTCTCAGGTTACTCTCTCCTGCCTCCCTCACATGCTCTTGGGTGACATCAGGTCGTGCTAGCCTGGCCCTGTGGTTACTGCCTGGCTCCCGAAGGGAACCTGCAGATGCGTTAGCCACACCAGCTCCCCCCGGGTCTCAGAGGCTGGAAACTGGATTCCTTCTCACATTTCAGGGGGACATGGTTTCTTACAGTCTTCTGGGATTCATTCCCTTCTTTGTTGGCTTTAAACTCCTGTTGGATTTTCATTGGCCTTGACTTTTCTTCTAGAATTTAAGGTCTAGAGGTGCGATGGCACCTGTGTGCAGCAGACACTGAGGGAACCTGGCCCGCCGGGGTGACAGCGCTGGAGGGGGCCGTGGTGGGTGGCAGGGCCTGAGCAGGGCCTGGCCAGGCAGCGACCTGCTCCTGGGCCCAGGCCTTCATCCTCTGCCTGGACTTCCTCTGAGGTCACCTCTCTGGCTTAAGGGAAGGCAGGTGGTAACTGCTCCTCATTACGTGGGAGATGAGAGCTGTGAAGCCGCACTTGGTAACGTGAAGGGAGCCGAGCAGGACCTGCGGGCCGTCGGAGCTGTGGTCGAGGTTCATGAGCGCGGCCTTGGAGGCAGAGGCTGCGCTGTGCGCGGGCGCCTCCTGCAGGCTTCCGGCTGTGACGTCACACTCGCAGGCCGGCCAGGGAGGCCTTGTTCTGGGAAACTGCCTCCTGCTGGTGGGAAAAGGGCTCACTTAGGAGCTTGTGAATAACCCGGAAGCAACAGAATAGGTCTGCCTCTGTTCCTTTACACAGGTATTTTAGTTTTTTAAAACACAGAGTCTTCACACCCAGACTCTCCTGAGCCTGATCCTGTCTGAATGTTTTATAGCCGGTACCTCAGCCATCGGTAACCCTTGGGCCGATGCAATCAATAAGTCTCATTTAATTCTGCAGCTGAGCCGCACGCAGCTTCTCTCGGCACAGAGCAGTGTCTGCCGTGCGGCTTGGTGCTCCTTGCTGGGAAGGGAGCGTGGAGGGATTCTGTGGGGAGGTCTGGGAGCGGCCCCCGGATTGGCACGCTGGTGTGTTCCTGCAGAGCGGGGTTCCTCATCTGTATTCAGTGAAAACCGGGTTACATTCCCGGGTCTGCTCTGGCCCTTTTAGGAGAGAGGGCTTCTCTGGTGAATGAGCGACTGACCTGAGGCGCTAGAGTCAGTGACCAGCCAGTCTCCGTCCTGAGGACTGGCTGCTGAGCAGTATGGACACATGAGTGGGTCTCAGCTCTGAGGAGCCCACTCTGCAGAGCGTTTGGAGTCCGAGTAGTTAGGCCTGGTCGCCCTGTAAACTGTCTGCCGGGCCAGCGCGCCGCTCCATGCCGCAGCCTGGGAGGCCTCGTCCCGTCAGAGGGGTCACAGCCTCAGAGAAGCAGGACGTCCTCCCTCCGGGTCTGCCCGAGGGCAGCCTCCTGGGCCTGTGCTCGGACAGCCCTGCGGGCCTCGGCGCAGCGGGCGGCTGCTGTTTGTGGGCCTGGATCCCAGACATCACCGCGGGCTGGCCGAGAGCATGACAGGACCCCCCTCCAGGCCTGACCCAGAGAGGCTCCCCGGTTACTGACTGGTGTTCAGGCTGCTTCATAAGAACTGACACATTACATCAAAGTAAATGTTCATTTTCACTAGAAATCTCAGTCACACTTCACACCTGATGGCTGTTTTCCAGCGCTCCTGGGCGGTCCTGCGGCGAGCTGGTTCCTGGCCTCGCTGTGTTGTGGCTTTGCCGGGGGCTGGGGACCGGGGCGGGGGGTGGATGGGGGAACTCGGGTGGCGAGAGAGTGGCGGGGCGGCAGGTGGCGTGTGCAGGTTTGAGTGGACGCTCCACCGCAGAGCTTTTCCGCCAGGCCCTCGGTGTCCGCCTCTCTCTGTGCTGCTTAAGCAGGAGGCCTCGGTTCCTGCTGCGGGTTCTCCAAAGCTAACAGCCTGCGGCTGCGGAAGCTTCTGCACCTGAACCTCGCTGCTGAGCTGGGGGGCAGGCTGGCGTCTGTCTGGCTCTCTGATGCAGATGCATCTTTAACTGTGTTGTTTTTCACAGGAGCCTGTACATGTCACTGTCTCCTTTATTTCTAGGAACTGAAAGAGAACGGTGAGCTGCTGCCCACACTGAAAGGAGGAAATTAGTGCCAGCTCAGCGGTGCCCACCCAGTGCAGGAAGGACTTTCTTACAGCCGAGCGGCTCCGCCATGCCTCCCTACGGACACGGACCGGGAGGAAAGGCCCCTCCTGTCGCTGTGTCCCACAAAGCTGTGCTAAAGACGTGTTACATTTCCCACCAAACTAGAACGCAATAAACCAATTCCGTTAACGGCCTGCGGAGGGTGTGCCTTTACCGGGAGGGTAGCCCTAGTGACCGCAGTTAACTCACAATCTGCTAACATGGCTCCCGGGAGCTGGTAAAGATCGGCAGGCGTCAGGCAGGGAGCGAGGGGTTGCCTTCTCACCCGGGGCCTAAAGGTTACCTGGCAGGGGAGTGTTCTTAGGGGATTGGTGTTCACTCGGGAAATAGCCTGCAGAGATGGCCTTTTTCTTTTAAACTCTTTGCTTGGCAACCAAAACTGGAAAGAAAAAAACAGTGAAAGGCGGTCGGAATTGTGCAGGTGAAGGACTTGGGGACATAATTCATAATTCGTTCAAGGACATTGGTAGCATTGGAGCAGGGATTTCTGTCCTCAGGCTTGCTCCTTCTCCACAAGAGGGCACTATTGCAACACCTGCAGGATGCGAGCCCTGTAGGTCTCAATAGGGTTTTCTTTTCAAACTTGCGAAATTCATGACTACAGTTCCGGTCTCAGAATACCCGCGAGAGGAAAATACTGCATGACTTCCTGCACGGGGAGAGCACTCTAGGATTGTCAGTGGGACTTTCTTTTCAGACTCCCTAGATTTCATTAGGAGAGTGCTCTTCTCAGAATGTCCACAAGAGGGCACAATTGCCACACTTCACAGGACCAGAGCCCTCAATCAGTTTTCCTTTCAGACTGGCAGAATTCTATTATATACTGGGATGCTCGTCTCAGAATGTCCACAAGAGGGCTCTGTTGCAGACCTTCAGCCAGCATTCCCTGTAAACTGCCCATTTTCCATACCCATTCTTACCACTTTGTCTTTTCCTTCTACCCATCTAAGCAGCTGAAGGGCTATGGTGGAGGGCAGACCTGCTCTCCCACGCTGCCGGCAGGATTGGAGTAAACACTCATATGATTCAACCCTGTCTCTGAGAATTGGCTCAAGTAGAGACAGGTAGCCTGGACCCATGAGTGTCCAGTTTCAGTTTCTGACTTAATCTTTAACTAAAACCAGTTTCCTTAAATTTTATAGTTACTAAAATCTAAAACTAAAACCTTTTTCTAAATAAAAGGTACTTTGCACATAAATTCACTCGTTTCTACATACTCCAGATGCTGAGTTCTAGGGATGGATATACCTTAACTTGCTGATGCCTCATTCACCACAATGGCGAATTTCTTTAACCTTTAAAAAACTTTTTAATTTTTTTCAATTGCAGTTGACATACAGTGTTATAATTCATTTCAAGTGTTCAACATAGTGACCGGACGTTTACGTAGTTTAGGAAGTGGTCACCCCGAAGAGCCCAGCACCCATGACCCCGGGACGGGGAGCTTCACAGGAATCTGTGGGTCAGTGTCCCACTCGGTCACTGTCGGGAGCTTTTCGTCCAGCTGCGTCTGCTCTGCGGACGTTCGGGTTCGGGGAGTGGGCCCGGTGAGGAGGGTGTCCCTGTGCTGCTGTGGCCCTGGTGCCACTCCCCTCTCCTCCAGCCGCATCCTCAGCGGCGGGCCTCAGCCCTGAATCACTCTCCAGGGGCCTGAGCCTCCCACACGGCGGCCACGCCAGCCCCTTGCAGGCATCTCCCTTCTGGAATAACAGTTCATGTCGAACTCAAACTCCGTGCCCAGACGCGCAAGGTGTGGCCGCGAGGCCTCTGCCGGCCCCCTGCCTCCGAATGGTCGTCGTTTGTAGGAGTTCATCTAACCTTTGCTTAAAACCAAGCTATTTGAGGGAGCGACACGCTTCCCATCTGGGCCCGGAGAGCGCTGCCTTCTCGGGGGCCTGGGTCATGCCCGCAGGGGGCAAAGGCTTCTGTCTCCCTCCGGCTCCGCCTCGGAGCTCAGGCCTGGGGTCGGGATCGGCCGTCTGACCGGGAAGCGGGAACTGGGTGTTCCCTAGTGCGGGGCTGCCGCAGGCCTGACCGTGACTTTTAGTTCACGTTCCAGTGAGAGCCTGAGGAGGCAGGTGCACAGAGCCGTTTGCTTCTGAAGAATCAATCGCACTCCTGGTGCTTGAAGTCTAAACGTAAAGGTTCCAGTCAGACACCCGGGGCCCAGACAGGCAGGCACAGCCGCCTTCTGGCCCCCGCCCTCTCGGAGAATCCTTACAGACCTTCCCACCTGGTCCCGTGCGGCCCCAGTTACAGGAGCTAAAATACTTTATTCTGCTCTTGCCCTGCGTTTGAATGAAGGACCATGTGTGCTCTGATGAAAAGTTAGGGGGCGGTGAGTGTCCTCAGAGGGTCCTCCCCTCCCCCTCCTCCCTTCCTCTTCCTCTTCCTCTCTGGCCCTGGGAGGGCGCACTTGGCCGTGGCGGTGCAGGCAGGGAGGGCGCCCAGGCTGTTTCTGGGCCAGTGGAGACACGGACGGGGTGGGAGCAATCCCCGGCCCTCGTCCTTCCTGAGTCCTGAGGGCCCCACCCCAGAGTTACCGCCCACTGAGCGCCCCCTCCTGGCTGGGGGCTTCGCAGAGGGCGCTGAGTGGAGAGCCGTGTTTGGGGGTGGCCCGTGAGTCAGCACTGGGGTTCGCGGGCCAAGTAAGTCCACTGGCTTTGAGTCTCACTGAGCTCCCCCTCCCGGGCCCAGCACTGAGAACGGAGGGGCCTGGAGCCCAGGTGGACAGGCGGAATGCATGTGTGTCTGTCCACACCCCCCTCTGCTGCCGGATTTCACTCGCCAAACGCAGGTCCAGAGACACAGGTTCCCAAACGCAGCTGAAGAACAGCTCCCAGGAAGGGCAGGGGGAGAGGGGCCACAGGCCCAGGAACCGCGGCTCGGAGGGCGTGGACGGAGGAGGGCGGGGCTGGGCCCCGTGTCCTTTCCTGGAGATGCTGTGGAAGAGCCACTCGGAGCCACGGGCCTGCTAGGACCCTCTCTGACCTCCAGCAAAGCGTCAAGAGGAGCAGCACGCCCCGTGTCTGCCCTGCCTTCCTGTGTCCTGGGTCCTGAGTCCTGTGTCCCGAGTCCTGTGTCCTGTGTCCCGTGTCCTGAGTCCTGTGTCCTGTGTTCTGTGTCCCGAGTCCTGTGTCCTGTGTCCCGAGTCCTGTGTCCCGAGGCCTGTGTCCTGTGTCCCGTATCCTGTGACTTGTGTCCTGTGTCCTGTGTCCCGTGTCCTGCGTCCCGTGTTCCGTGTCCTATGTCCTGTGTCCCGTGTCCTGTGTCCTGAGTCCTGTGTCCCGTGTCCCGAGTCCCATGTCCTGTGCCCTGTGTCCTGTGTCCCGAGTCCTGTGTCCTGTGTCCTGTGTCCTGAGACCTGTGTCCTGAGTCCTGTGTCCTGAGACCTGTGTCCTGAGTCCTGTGTCCTGTGTCCTGTGTCCTGTGTCCTGAGTCCTGTGTCCTGAGTCCCGTGTCCCGTGTCCTGAGTCCTATGTCCTGTGTCCTGTGTCCTGTGTCCTGAGTCCCGTGTCCTGTGTCCTGAGTCCTATGTCCTGTGTCCTATGTCCTGTGTCCTGTGTCCTGTGTCCGTGCAGAGCAGCAGCAAACACTGGTGCTGATTACGGTCAGGAGCTGCCCTGAGTACATGACCCAGCGAGTCCCTTAATTCTGGCCGCACCCCGGGAGGCTGCCTCGGCCCCTTGTCCAGATGGGGGAGGGAGCAGAGGCTCCAGGCAGAGGTCCAGGTGGAGCAGGGCTGGTCCTGGGTCAGGTTGCCTGGCCCTGGGTGTGGGGTCAGGCTCTGCTCCTTCCGCTCGGCGTGGGGAGGGTACCCAGAGGGCACTGGGGGCAGAGACCGGCCCAGCTGGCCCCGGGGGCAGGGCTGTGCAGGCGGGCCCAGCAGAGGCCCCGGGGAAACCAGGCGCTGCTGCCAGCATGCCCCTGTCCCTTAGCAACGCCAGGGACCAGCAGTGGGCGCCCTGGGTGCTAGTTTTGTCCTCTGGGGAAGGGTTTCAGAAACGCTCCCTCGCCCCTCGCCTGAGGGGGTGGCTGGGCCCCTGCGCCTCCTGGGCGGCTGGTGGCAGGGAGCAAGCCTCCTGGGCTGAGGGCAACCACGGAAGCTTTCAGTCACATTATCAAGGGCGCTGCCCCCTTACGTGGCAGATACACCTGCCGATGGCCGCGGGCTGCACCTGAACGCAGAACCGCTGGTCCACGGAGTGTGGAGCTGGCCACGTGGGCGGAGAGCCCTGTGCAAGGGGCCCAGTGGGCATGCACACTGGGGTGCGGGTGCGGAGGGGAGTGTGCAGGCTCCATGCCCCGGGTCTGCTGCCCGCTGCACCCTCGTTCTGCAGGGCCCCCTCTCGGGAGAGAGGTTCCAGCGCCCACCTCTGGGAGGCGTCCGCGTCCAGGTGCCTCTTCTGGAGAGGTGAGTCCCAGGGCAGCCCCTGCCGGGGGGGTCCGCCTGGCACCCCCGCTTCTGGAGGACTTGGCTGGGCGCTCTGCACTGGGCCTGAAGGCTCCTCACCGGCCGGGATGGGCGGGATACGCGTAAAAAGCCACCTGGAGCCCCTCAAGCCTCGAGGCCTAAGGTGCCCGAGGCCCAGGCCCGGCATCTGGCTGCCAGGCCTCCGGGGGCCTGGAGGTCTACACGGTGAGGGCCAGAGCACGTGGCCACGGGAGAGCCCTGCACTCAGCACGCAGGCCCGGCCCGCGCCACCTGCAGTGGCGGACTCCGGACACCAGGGGGCGGTATGGTATCGCAATTGAACATCTGGGTTATGGAAATGGTGGTCTGGGTTAAAGATGGAGAACTACACCCCTGATACAAGACTGGATTCTGTGGTTAAGGCCTGGGCCCTGGGATAAACTTCTCTGCTCTGCCTCGATGGTCTGGGACCCGGATGCAGGTCTGGATCCTCTGAGGGCAGTTCGGGCCCGGAGGGAAGTCTGAGCCTCC